TGTGCTCCTAGCCACACAATTAAGGGACAGTACTGAACATAATTTCAGAGCTTTAAAACCAAATCTCTGTCTTGTGTCTAGATCTTCCAAGGTACAGCACTGCGTTTACAGGTGCTACTGAGCTTTGCTGATGTAGCTACCATGAAGAGCAGCATCTATGATGCACGTAGTAACAGTGATCAAAGATGAGATTTTAGTCACAGGCAAAACAGGGCAGGGTGAGGACACTGCAGAGACCTCTGGAGAGATGCTGCAGAGGAAAGCACCGAGGTCCAGTTACATGCATACATGCAGCTCTTTTTTTATTGTTGTTCTCTCTCTCTCTCTCTCTCTCTCTCTCTCTCTCTCTCTCTCCTCTCTCCTCTCTCCTCTCTCTCTCTCCCCCCTCTGTAGGCCAGAGGTCAGAGGTCAACACTTGGTGTCTTCAGTCAATCTCCACCTTATATTTTTAAAAATAACTGCCCCTGGAGCTCCCTGATTGGCTAGACTAGATGGCCAGCTTCTAGGATCCCTGCCTCCACTAACCAGTGCTGGGAACAGTGTCTGCCACCATGCCTGGCTTCTTACATGGGGCCTAGGGATTTGAACTCTGGTCCTCATGCATGCATAGCAAGCACTTTAGCCACAGAACCATCTTCCCAGTCTCCTGTTCTGGTTTTCGAAACTATCACTATGTAGCCCAGGCTGGCCTCAACTCACTGTGTAACCCAGGCTTATCTCCAACTTGTAATCCTGCCTCAGCATCCCTAACGCTGCACTTACAGGTATAGACTTGGTGTTTGTGGTTTTCTTGAGAAATAAGTATGGCTAAGAAACTGCTTACAGGAAATCAAGTCTCTCCAGCAGGAGCTGCTGTAGCTGATTCTATGAGGGAAGGCCAGGCACTTTGTGCTATGCTCAAAGCTCTTCCAATGGCAGTGCTTTTTCCTCCAGCACTGATTATTTTCCATTCTGTCTCACCCTCCTCAGGTCTCACTGTCTAGAGGGCCTGTGGATGGCAAGTCTCAGCAGAACTCAGAATCTAAAATGAGTAAGACCAGCTGGCTCCCTTTTTAGGTTTTCTCCTTGGAAGCTGTCATTCTGGGGGCTGGAGAGATAGCTCAGCAGTTAAGAGCACTGGCTGTTTTGCAAAGGACCAGGGTTTGGTTTTCAGCATCCACATAGTGGCTAACAACCATTCGTAACTCCAGTTCCAGGGGGTCCAACACCCTTTTCTGGCCTCTGTGGGTACTGCACACACATGGGTGCCCTTACAAACATGCAGGCAAAACCCTCATACACATACAAATTTAAAAAATCAGAATGTATTCTGGATTTGGGACTTTAATATTCTTCTACATTTATGTGTGTGTAGGCCAGAGGACACCTTGCAAGCTTGTCTGTTCTTCCAGCATCATGTGGGTCTCAGGGATTGAACTCATGAGCCATCAACGCAAGCCCAAGAGCTGCAACCTTAATGTGTCAATCTTAGCTCCATCTCCCCTAATGATGGAAAGGGGTAGAAAAAAAAAGAGTACATTATGAACTGTGTGGGGGAACTCTGGAGTTTTGTCAGGTGTCTGGAGCAGCTTGTGCACCAAGTCACTTCGATCCTCTGTGGGTGGAGGAGGGTGGGACCCGTAATTGTTTGCCAGCGAGTTCTGCCTGCCACGCACACGTGGGTGGTGATTTGTTTTCTCTGTCTTTCTAGTGACTACAGGCTGGTGATGGTGTTTAGTGACAGCACCCAGCATCAGTTATGCCAACTTCATCACTGTCATCAACGCCCCTTGTTTTCAGTGAACCCGAAAAGCTGTTCAGTATTGAAAGAGGCCAGGGGTGAAAGGAGAGGAGGTGGGTCAGTGGGGGAAGTCAGCAAGAATCCACTCACATACCATTAATTCTGGGAGCAGGACCCCTGGGATGGGTCTGTTGATTTGCATGGTACAGGGGCCTTGGCCACAAGTTTAGGACTCTTCCGCTAGAAAGGCAATTGCTTGTGTTTATAAGTGGACATCACCTTGTCCATTTTGGTTCTGAGAAATGCCCTAGGGAGAGGTTATTTTTGGTAATGGGTCTTTCCGCTTCTAGTATAATAATCAGGAATAGCTAGGTTGGACTTATCTTCACCATGGGACAATAAACAGAGAAAGGGTGACCTTGGCTGAGGATCTACTGGGAGAGGAGAGGAGGGGAGGTGCATCTGTGTGTGTGTGCATGTACATGAGGGACAGGACAGAAGACAACCATGGGTATCATTCTTCAGTCCCTGTTCACCTTAGATTTGAAAAGATTATTTCATTAGTGTGTGCACATGTACGTGTGTGGAGGTTAGAGAACAACTTTCAGGAATTCTCTGTTTCCATCATGTGAGCCCCAGAGATTGAACTTAAGTCATCAGCCTTGGTGGCAAGCACCTGCACCTGCTGAACCGTCTCCTCAGTCCCTCATTTTGTTTTTTGAGACAGGTGTCCTCACTGGGTGGGGCTCACTGATTCAGCTGCAGTGGCCAGCCAGTGAGCCCCAGGGATCTATCTGCCTGTCTCTGCTTCCCTGGTGCTAGGATTATTAGAATGCACCACCATGTCCAGCACTTTATGTGGGTTCTGGGGTGCTTGTGTGGCAAACATTTTATTGATTTCTATGTGATGTTCTCCATTCTGTAACTGGCCTCATTACCAGGTCACCCATGAAGACAGAACCAAAGAGAGTTGACGAAGATGTACCTCACGTCACTCAGCTACTTAATACAGGCTGAGGTTTGAATTCAGGTGTTTCTAACAGTACACAGTACAGCTGGAAAAAGAACATACACACAAAATAAACAAACAAAAAGTATCTTATTAACTTAGGTCAAAAAGGACTAAGAAAATGTAGATGGGGGGAACGGGTATATTTCTGTGATCTGATCTGAACATGTGGAAAGCTCAGATGATTTTTAAAAAGGCACATTGGGAGAAATTATATTAAATCATAAAAATACAGCATGCTTTTTGGGGAACTTACCCTCCTTGTGAGTGACCCTTGTCAAGACATTCTTGACAAGACCCTTGACAAGACATCCCATTTTTGTGTAAAAATGTGGGTGAAAGATCCAAATCCAGTGTGAGGTTTGGCTCATGCCTGTCTGTGGTTCTTTTGGCTTTCTGAGCAGGCTCACTCCTTTGGGGGCATCCCTGCGTCTTACCCTCTAGACACCTCACCAAAGTGTGCCTTGGAACTTGAGAAACCTCTGGTAAAACTGGCTAGTTGGAAGCCTGCAGGCTCAGCAGGGAGACTGAAGGGACAGAGGCCAAAAGGGGCATGTGATGGTGATGGCCAGTCCAAGTTGCTTTTGCTAGGACATCCAAGGACTAGCTAAAACCTGACCTTAACCATTCCTGGGGGCTCCTGTTAGCCCCATCCAGTGGACAGAACTCACTCTAGCTCCTGCCAGATCTAGGCTCAGGGCACTGTGTGACCAGCCCGGATGAACTATGCAAACAGCTCAGATTGACTTCCCACCTCCTGGTCCCTTAACTTTGCTTCTGCTCTCCTGCCACAGGGGTTCTGAATAGACTCTGAGCCTGTTGCAGGAAACTGAAAACCTTGGCCTGTGGGGGCAGTGGAAGGCAGAGGCCCAGCACGAAGTTCCCTCTGGCCTTCAGTCAGCCAGCTTTTCCACTTCCCTAAAAATACTCTGAGCTCTCAGGGGGTGCTTCCTGGATTGCTCTTAAATTGGTGGTAAAACCACAAGAGCCAGAATGCTGTTAAGACCTCCATTGGACACCCACCCCAAAGCCTTTCACCTGAGTGCAAAGCTCAGACCTTGAACTCAGAGCATTTGTATCAAACGCTTCCTAGGGACAGCTCTGCCCTGGCCCCCTTCTCACCCCAATTCTCCCTGCTTAGCAGGAGCAAAGCAACTCTCTCCAGATTTTCAGTTTCTCTTGGCTTGGTTCACAGATGGGGGTGGTGTGTGATCAGGATCAGGCCCCAGGGTGGGGACACGGCACCTTGGGGGATTAGTTCAAGGTGCCTCCTACCTCCTCTAGGGTTTGTCAGTCATGTGCATGGACAGGTGGGGGCCACTTGGGGGTGGTCATGGAGGATGATGACTGACACTGAAGTTGGAGGCCTCACTTGATGGTATCCTAGATGTTGGGAATCAGGGCTGCCCTTAGGGAGTTGGCAGGCAGGCAGGGTGAGGAGAGGAGGGGAGGAGGGAGAGGAGGGGAGGAGGAGAGGGGAGGTGGTTGAGAGGAGGAGAGGAGGAGGGAAGGGACAGGAGGAGGGGAGGGAGAGGAGGAGCGGAGGGGGGAGGAGGGGAGGGGGTGGTTCCTCGAGCCCCAGGGCAGGACTGGG